TCCAGGCGCAGGCCGCTCACCAGCGAATATTGATGCAGTTCGTGAGAGTGTTCAAGATGACCCAAGAATGTCAATTCCACGGCGTTCACAACAGGTGCATATTCCACAAACCATTGCTTGGCGTATTCTACACAAGGATTTGGCGTTAAAGACATTTAAGAACCAATTGACACAAGAATTGAAGCCCACCGATTCGATACCGACGACTGTTACAACATTTTTTGTGGCCTGAACTGAACAATGTTGATGTCGAAGACATTTGGTTTCAATAGGATGGAGCAACCTGTCACACATTACGAGACACAATCCAGTCATTTTAGCAGAAATTTAATGATAACGGACCTGTCAACTGGCCACCTCGTTCGTGCGATTTGACTTCGTTGGACTTCGTCCTTTGAAGCTATATTAAAAGTAAAGTCTACAGGAAGAATCCCAGACGATTCAAGCATTGACAGAGGTAATAATCCGTGTCATCGCTGAGATAGAGCTGCAATTATATGACCGTGTCATCGAGAATTTTAGCGAAAGAATGACTATTTACAAGTTATCACGGGGCGTTCATTTGCAATATATCATTTTCCACACATAATTTTCTTAAATTGCCATTCATGCATTTTTGATTTTAGATATATGTTATATTCATTCCACTTGAAATGTCATTGTTTTATTACTTAATAAAACATTGCGTCGATACTGAACAGCCCGTTAGATAGAGGCACAAAGAGCCTCATTTCCCACTCTCATTCAAGTCTTCCAGAAGGAGTTTCCCCTATAATCCGTCCTGTCACACCGCTGTTCCCCACCTGGATGACGTCACTGGGTACGCTACCCGACCGTATGGAACAGGGAGCGAGACGGCGCACGGCGATCCATATCGGCGGGCTGTAATTTAAACTCGTTCCGGACAATGAACACCTGGAAGGCGTAATGCGACACCTGGGGCGTGTAACGTCGCTCCAAGGATCTGTACATTGAGGACGAGCTCACCGAGACTGGGGGACACAACGGGAACCGAGCTGCATCAGCTTTGTTTTGATATGAAAAACCAACTTTACTATCCAGGGCTACGGAAAGGTAGCAAAGATAATAATTCTTCTACATTCGTGGCAAAGGAAGAGCAGATTTCCATAGTTCTCTGCCCATATGAGGCAACAAACGTCGAAATTTCGGTAACCATGGTGGTATTTCAAAGTACATATCAGTGATAATGACCATATACTTTATACTTATCTGTCTTTCAGGTGAGAGTTCGTTTGTTTTTTTTTCCAATGACTTTGATTGACAACTAAAGCGAACATTGCCACTTGCTCACTGCATCAGAATTATCTTCTCTTTTTTTTCTGTACTTACAAGAGCATTAAAACCAATTATTTATTATTATTATACAGTATACTTCATCAACAGCCTGAACAGTAACGTATCATGCCGGGATCGCGAAACCATCCTCACAATTTTAAGGCATCGCGCAAAAGAGCGAGGTCCACGACCATCTAGGGTAGGCATTTCCGTTTCTAAAAGGACGTCCAACCCCAAAGCGACAGACAATCACAAGCTTATGTGTTGCTCTTGGATGTATCAGATATATCACCGGATAAGTCTTAGACGTTACATTAGTTACAAAAATATTGCACTCAGTGGAAAGCTTATTTTCTCTTCGTGCGGTATTCGTTGCATTTGGAAGGTTTTCCTCTATATTCTACAGCATACAGTGTTAATAAACTGCTTGAAACAGCTACATCTGGTGATTCCTTGATGCATTGTATGAAAAAGAAATAATATAAGCAAAGGTCCTCAAGTGCTTAGCTTCCAAGTTGTCAAACTTTTTTCAGAAATCTAACCACTTTGAGATATTCTAAAATTTCATATAACGTAACGCCGAGGATTAAGTAAAATAAAACCCAAATTTCCAATGAATAATACTAATGGAATCAAATCTACATGTTAACGTTAACGCTTACTTCTATTTTTTGAAACTTAAAGTCATTTAAAAGAAATTATTTTAAGAATTGACGATTTCTACAGTTTAGTTCAATTCCTCTTGGGTCATAATCCAGATATCTGGGTGTCATGCTACTTATATGTTATAGACGCTCTTGAAACGTAGTACCATTGCACATACAGCTTTTTATTCTTATTCACAATGGATGTATTTGGAAGACGAGCCATTTGGAACTTCGAAGTTGAGTCATTTATTTTAACAGTGAGTAGATCTGATCAAAAGAAATGTTTTTTTCCTTTAACATTTTTCTGGTAAAATTAAAGTAACAAAGTTATAGCCCTTTAGAAGTTTGAGTACCGCCCTGCCTCAATAATAATATTACATGCTCGTGTTTGGCAACAACGGATATAATCCGCCTTATCGGTTCATCGCATCGGAAACAAAAAAGCGAAAGAATTTGAAACGCTTATCACGATGTTTTTACTACAATTTTATTCAGTTGTATTCAGTCAATGTGTTAGTCGGTAACGCGTGAGTGAATAGTGGTGATTGTTGCGTGGCTCAAACGAAATAAAAAATGGCACATGTTTACAAAAATGCTGAACTGGACATGATTCTTATTTACGGATTTCTTATTTATGCGGATCGGTTTCCCAATCGAGTGCAACCAACCCCTCGTGCCTTTGTTAATGTAGTACAAAGGATTCGTGAATCAGGTGACTTAAGACCTCACAGGAGAGGGCATGCCGGTGCTCCAAGACCGCACGATCAAATACAGGTCCGCACTGAAATACTTGTCGGGAGGATACTTTATAAAACAAGGTAACATTTTTGTTTTATTTTTTACACACATATTTTGGTTTATATTCCTTCTGCAATCATTATCTGAAAATTAATGACTCAACTTCAAAGTCAACCTGTATAGACAAGGTCATTGCCTGAATGCCCCGTCATGTTATTAAAAATGATGGAAGTGTTCGCTGGCTGGATAGAAAATATTGCGTGGTCTTCAGCATATCTCAAGAAAAAATCGATTGGATGATTGTATACAACATAGGAGTAGCCGAACACATCAGTCTAACAGTAAACGTTTCAAAATATATGCACTACTTCCCCATTGCGTATCTTTAATTCTAATAGGAAATTCTATTTGAATAAAGCTTGAAGGGTATGGGGCGGTTGATCGTGAGAAAATTTTGTTTACCGTGTGAAAAGGCGGTAGGTATGCTGCTGATCTTGCTACTGTCCTTGTTACTGATGTCGCTGGTACTAATGCTACTGATGTTGCTGGTTCCGTTGGTAGATAGATAAATAGATAGATATTTCATCTGTTCATGTACAAAATACAAGACAGACATGTCATAAAAAATTCAAATCTTAACAAAAGTGGCGTTTATATAAAAAACGGTCGCAGAAAACACGCAGAGGTACAGATAACAACATAACATTGTTGTGTAAATACATTAGATATAAGATTCCTCAGTATGCATACTTCTCTGGCTAAGATTTTGAACTAAATTATTCACTTATGCAATAGAAACAATACCCAGTATTGAACTTCTTTAAAATACCCATATGTTTAACCTGCATTTTGTTAAGTTGACGAATACTCGTTGATAGATAATTGTAGAGATCTAAGCGCGTTTTGATATCAATAGAGAATTTTGGGTCAGTCGATGATCTAGTCTGCTAACTGTGAAAGTTAGAGTTTGTGGAGCAGTTATTTATATCTTTACGTGGCATATGTCAATACTGTTGGAACAGGCATTATTTCGATATTTAAACCGATCATGGTTCTAATGTCTGGCTTATCAATAAAAAGTAGCTTATTGGTTTTACCAGATTTATTCCATAATCGTAGCTAAGCTGGAATGAAGTAGCCCAAAGCAAATACTGGTAGGTTGACCTGTAATTTTAATTTCCACAAAAGAAGAAGGGATTGGCTTATTTTTTCAGCATCCGAGTCATTGAGATGAACCCAGCTTAATGAGTCATCAAAAAATATTCCAAGGACTCATTTCTACCCATAGTTATGGACCCATTAATAGTAATGATGGTAGTTATTTCCTAAAAGACAATTTGCAAGAAATCGCATCGGGATGGTCAACGATGTAAAGAAAACCCATAGCACCTACAGGAAGGTAAACATCTAATTAATATACACATTAAAAGCAATGATATAAATGAAGCAAGAATAAGGAACATACACAAACCCATGAAACTACATTTCAAGGATTTGATAAGCACAGGAAGAATTTGAACACTATAAACACATTGATCAACTAAAAATTTCTTAAGGTACTTCACAAACAAATTGAAATTGACAATTCAACGTAATAGTTGGAGGTGAAACGTTGAACAGCCTTATAACTAGACAATCAGGGGCGTTTATGCCAATTATGTATTTCCTATATGGCACGGATAAATAATTACTTTGTCATTACACATTTCTAAAATAAATAGGCTGAGAAGGATTAGAATCTTAAAATTTTCAAAAAACTCTTTATAAGACTTTGTGCTAGGTAGACTTACCAGACATCTAACTGACCTCTTCTGGACTAAAAAATATTTGTGCTCGTATCCCAGAAACACACAACATAACGAAGTCTGCTACTAACTACTAGTGGATAAGATCATACTTTCAGTTTGTCTTCGTTTAGTTGTAGATAATTAGCAGTGAAACATTTGTTTGGTTTTTCTAAATTGTTAGTATCTCTCTTTGATGTTGGTGTTGCTGGTACCAGCAGCACCATTATCTGGACAAGTACCAGCAGAAGCATTTGGTACCATCAAGACCAGCAGCACATATCAAAGGATTCTACTTTTTCTCACGGTGTGCAAAACTTTCTCACGCTCAGCCGGCTCATACTCTACTAAATTAACGTTTACTGGGTTTTCTAATTTCTTCGTCACTGAGTACTGTGTTACTTATACTGCTTATGTGGCTGTTTCAATAAAATCCATATAGAGCAATCGTTTTTCTGTAGTTTTGTCGAAATTCATTCCACATAGGTATCATAAAACACCTGAGGCATTCCAGATCGCTAGAATCTAACCTCACCTTAACAGATTGCTCCCTAGGCCTCCTCCGAGCCATATTTCTTTACCCTGCGATTCCGATGGCCAAAGGGTAGCCTCGACATTGACAATCGATTTCCCATCATGAGCGGAATTTAAGGACGGGTTGACACCCTACGAAAGCTTAAAAAATCGAATGCGAAAGTTCGGATTCTCTTTGAAGTGGTGAATTCCGATTTCCGGAACTTATCCAGAACGGAAACGAAGGGTCCTTTGAATCTATCATCACTAGTATGCGATAATCGTTTTCTTTGCAGTGGTTCCAAAGTAGCTACTGGAACAAACAAAAATTATCTATTTTTATAACAAAATGTTAGGATGATTACTCGTTAAGCGCTTCTTTTCATTTTGGGCAGTTGGCACATTTGTGGTACTTGTGCTCAAACATGAAGCAAATTTGTTCTTCTTTCATCTTAGTACTCACTGCTTCTTTGTTAAATAGTGACTCTTAATAACTCCTCTGGCAATTCTTTATCACTACGCCAACGAACTTTCACCGATCATGCCGCCACGCATTGAGCCTGCCAGACGGACCCGCCAGGCTATCTTGGTCGCGCTTTTTCCATCGACAACTAGCCCGTATGACCGCTCTTTTGTACGTGTGGTGTCGATGTTGTGGAACAATCTGTCTGAAGTTTTCGCAGACAGTGGAGTTCAGAGTTTGAATATGTTTTGTTGCTAACTTTTTTAAGCTGTCTATTCGCAGTACAGTTGGAGGAAGCCCATTCATATATGTTTTCAACAATCCTGAGAACAAAAGTCCTATCGTACAGTACAGATCTCGATACAGAGACAGAAGCTTGGCTACTTTGTCTGGGAGGCTTGATACACGACAGTACCGTAGGGGAAAGCCCAGAAGGGCAACGTCCGATAGTATATCGATAAAGAAGGGGATCGTTAGTATGATAGAGACTTGAAACCGTCCATTATGGAAGTGCCATTGATTAGTCAGATAGTCGATCTATGAACAGCTTCAATTATGAATAGTCACAGTTTACAGCTCTGAATGATGGCATGCAAAGTGCCGTCGTCCACAGAGAGATGATGCAAGTAAAGTCTAGTCTAGTCAAATCGTAGAACGCCTCTTACATAGAGCCTGGCAAAGTTAAATCGAATCGTTTTTCTCAATTCTAATATTATTTACCTCGATACATTATTGTCCTCACCTTGTTCAAACACACAGTGCAATGCGACTTTCCAAGAGTCGTAAATTTTCCTGGCTGCTTGGGAATTCAGTTTACTTATTTTCGACCCATCGGAGCTATAAACCTCAGAGTTTTCATTGCGCAGCTGTCATCCATAACAGTTGAAGTATTTATCTTCCTTGTAATAGAGTTCGAAACAAATATTAGGTCACAGACTTGTGGATATCCGAACAGACAAAAAATCTTCTGGTGTATTCCAATAAATAGTCGAACTTCATCAATTATTGTTGAAAAAACGCTTAATGTATGCTTCAAAAATACTATTTATCTAAATATCTGTAGATTAGGAGCACACGTATAGTTTTTTCGCGGTCCCTTATTCTGAGGACGCTTTATAAAAAAAAAATTTATAAACCGCTATACGTAGGTCTCAAATCGGACAAGGTCGCTTACTTTCCACACCTACTGACGAGGAAGTAGTTTAGTCGCGGAAAGTTATACTTTGGATGTTATATGACGTACATCACGAAACATCATGTCACTCATTTATGTGGATATATCGGTCTGCCTGTCTGTCCGCTAATATTTGGCCTGTCTATAGACGTGGAAAGGGACAACGTTGCCAGATGGTTGGTTCGCTTGTTATCTCTGTAGTACTTGTTCGTAACCAAGTTTTCTCTCAGACGATTTTAATTGAGCTTAATCCTTTATGAACTAATGACAGAGTTGTATAGGAAGTGCAGAGTTAACCTATTTGACGCCATTATTTTATAGTAGTGAAATAATGAAGAATTTCGTACAAAATTGTTCCTATTACTTTTACTTGCTAAAGCACGTATCGTAAGTCGTCCCTTCAATTAATTGTAGGGCGCCTTTATGGCCTCCTTGATTGTCATAGTTTTCTACTTCTCCGTGTCAGCGCTCTATTTTGAGATTATGTCACAAACATCTATTTGCATCAAATTGTGCTTGCTTTTGAGTAATATCATGTTTTATCAGCCTGAGATTTCCTACAATTTAAAAAGAAAACATATCTTCACAATAGGAGAGCGCTGAGGCTGACACGGAACAAGTGTAATCTAGAAATTTTTGAAGGAGAGAAAGGAGTATGTCAATTAAGGAGGCCATGAAAGCGCCCTACAATTGTAGGGACGACTGACGATATGGGCCTTAGCCTATGTGCGAGGAAGTACTGTAGTTTCACATAGGTTCGATGACATACGATGAAACTCGCTTATTAAAATGACGGCAGCCCTATTATGATGCAAATTTAGCATTATCATTAGGTAGCAACAATCTAACGATAGCACAAAGAAATCTACTGTCGCCAAATTTGAATGATTACCTTTTACACACAATTATACAGGGTGATTTACAAGTCGTGACCAAAAATGAAACATCATACACAGGATCGCATTTTAAGCGAGGTCTTCTATGTAACATTTCTTCCCCCGAGGGCTTCGTTAAAAATATACGGTGGTGTTGAAGTTAAAAAATAAAAAACAATTTCTTTAATATCCTCAGAACCGTCAATGAAGCCCCCGAGGAAAAATGTTTGAGGTTTCATTTTTGGTCACGACTAGTGAATCACACACAATCAATTTTTGTAAATAAATTATACAATGCAATAAAGGTAAAGTTGCGACTTCACGTACGTGTACATGAATTGAAGTAAGGCTGAGGTTGAAGTAGCCTAGGTTCGTTGAATCCTAAACAAGGTCCATGTCAGGACTAAAGGCGATAAGAGAGAATAAAACAGAGTGAGCCAATAGAAGCTAGTCAAATCAAACAAGGATACTTAGAAATACTTTCGACAAGATAAAGTGGTGATCTAGCAAAGAGCATGAAATAATGAATATCAAAAATTCCCAATGATTCTGTGAATTTGTTAAAAAATAGCATGTAGTGTTTCATCAGCCACCACATAACTGCTTAAAATAAAATATAAATATGCATATGTGTAGTTTGTACCAAGCTATAGAAGATGATTAAGATATTTGCAGTTTTCATCCCATGCATGTCTTCGAAAAAGCCGTCGAGAAAAATATGAATAGCATATACGTATACATAAGATTCAGTCTAAATCTAACACTTACTTGTATATATATACAATCAATTGTTAATTGGGAAATTGGCAAATTTTTAGGCCTAAGTTGACTCTTTTGACGATAAAATCAAGCTTTCGGCATTCTCTATGGAGCCTTCATCAAGATTTCGTCGTTGAGGTTGCAGCCACAAGGTGTTTCAAAACGAATATAGAGAAGATAGAACTTGTAATCAGTATAAAAACAAAAAGACGGGGACATTGGGCTTGTTGAAAACGACAGATACCTTCGTTACATGTTAAAAATATCAATCCACCCGAACAAATTAAAAAGTATTACACGTGAGAAGACATTTTAGTGAAACAATCGGAATGCAGTCTCTAATCTGAGATGTAACGAAGGTATCTGTCGTTTTCAATAAGCCCAATGTCCCCGTGTTTTTGTTATTATACTGATTACAAGTTCTATCTTCTCTACGTTCGTTTTGAAACACCTTGTGGCTGCAACCTTAACGACGAAATCCCGATGAAGGCTCCATAGAAAATGCCGAAAGCTTGATTTTATCGTCAAAAGACTCAACTTAAGCCTAAAAATTTGCCAATTTCCCAATTAAAAATTAATTGTATTTTGTGCCCAACTGGTCGTTGGCTTTGGCAATGACTACTGCTCATATATATATATATATAACTTGAGACGTGGTCATTGTCGTCTAGACCAGTTAGGTGAAAAATTAAAGCTTTAATTTTTCACCTATATACATATATATACATTCTTCCAGTTTTGGCCTAAATATACGTGTCATTACGAGTATAAACTTTTACCTTTTGCGTTGCATATCTGCATACACCAAGGAAGAGAGGACTGCCATTTGGCGAAGGGAGATCATTTTCGACCATTTGATTTTATCATTTGACAAGCACTTGACAAATACTTCAACGTCTTTCCAACGCCAGTCTTAAATATGCATATACAGAATATATGAGTACAATGAATAAAAATAAGAAAAAGGTTGTCTGTGATCCGAAGGCTGAGGACTGGAAGATAAATGACAATCAAACTTCACCGACGAAAGAGGAGGGCAATTAATGTGCAAAAAATACCTCCGTTATTTAACGTTTGTGTAGTTCCTCATTAGTATTGTTTTTTTTTCACTTTCATGTGAACCCAAGCACAAGTAAACTTCTTTGGGTATTGTATGTTTATTGTAAGATAACGATTTTGTGTACGTTATTCCAATAAACATTACTATTGTTATTATTATACCATTGCGAAACAAAAGGAAATAATGCATTTTAATATTATATATACTCACCATTCTGCTAAATTAGGGAGACACAATTTACATAGTGGCCTTTTGATGTACGTCGGTTGAAAAGAGTAACAAATTCGTTCGTATTATCTGGATGGTAGCTGAGATTGAAGTGGGAGGAATCTCAACCAAAAATATTCGCAAGGCCAGTAATTTAACTCCAGATGAGTATGGATAGAGATGGGCAGAATATTGATATATCACGCATGGTGAAACTCTTACCAAAAATGCATACCGCTTAAGGGGCCCGGGGGCAAACTTAGCTTAGAAAATTAGCTATCTGGAGGCCACATCCAAATTGCAGCACTAAATACTCAATCTACGTAACCGTTTGATCCAGGAAACAAGTTGCCATCCAGATCACAGGTACGCAAGGGCCTTTGGAAATCCTCATGATTCGTTTCTAAAAAATTATGAATGTTGACAATGTATTATAAACAAACATTGCCAAACTAATGGGCTTGATTTTGTTTGATAAACGGATTATAAACATGGTTGATCTTATGACCTTTTTTCAGAAAATGCAGGAAATTACATAACCTTCTTTATTCTCTTCTATTATTGAATATGTTTTGGGAATGCCTAACTTGTTATGACTATCGCCATTTCAGATCGCAGGATTGTTATTTTCCAGACTTACATGTTGGCATTGGATGTAGGAAGTCGATTTAGTTTTGAAAAACTTGAGTTTTGTGGAATTTCATTCCACGAAATCGTAATTCGAATTCAAAACCACAATATAGAGCATCAATCTACTTCATATTTCGTACCCTTA